AGCAATTCTCCGCCTCATGAGGTCCTCCACATATGAAACACCATAAGGGTTGCGAAGTCGGTTATGTTCCTCCTTGATAAGTAGCTTGACTCATATTGGCACAAAATCCTTGAGTAGGTTGTTGAGTGTTAGGAACAAGTGTATAATAATTAGATTTTGATGATATCAAACTGTCTAGGATTGTAGACCCCTATTTTTCCTTTCGTGGATAGGTCTCTTGTGACAAACGAAAGTTACTGTAACTCAACGTTTGATTCACACCATGAGGTGTACGAATCTTACTCGAGCCTAGCATAATAGGTCTATATGAAGACTTGAAGACGAAAAGATGATCGAAAGATGCTTCCAGGTGAAAGATGGATTGAGCAAGTCTCAGACAGATCTCTTTTGACAAAAAGGATCTCTCGTCAAAGAGAAATGATGAAAGATAAAGTTAATCTTTCGATCATCATCTCTGAGTAAACAAGTCAAAGACAGACTTGTAAAAGAAAATATTCATTTAAGTGAAGCAATGAGAACGTTGTCTATGACTTAGATGGGCAAATCATTCGTACAAAAAGTGTCCTAGGAATGATCTTCACAAAAGACAAGAAGCATTAAAAGACTTGTACCATCTTGTCAGAGAACAAGAACAAAAGTTAAAACACTTTTGGCTCCAACGGCTACACAGTACAAGTGCATTAAATGCTTGATGTCCAATGGTTAATACACACTGGTTATTAAGTTTGAAATCTTCATCCCCCTCCAACGGATGGATTTTTCCACCTATAAATACCTCTCTTCACCATTGAAGAAGGTGCTGGTTATTTTCACTCTTGCTATCTAAAGAAAAGCTCTTAAAATAGTTCCATCTTCAAAAGCTTTTCATAACCACTGATCTTGTGAAGCTTTTCAAAGGCTCATCCATTTCCATACTTCACAACTCGAAGCAGTCTTGCATATTTTCAAGTGAAGATTCATCCAGATCTCAAGACAAGGCTTCAACCAGTTGGAGAAACACCAGATTATCCTTCCAACATCTCAACATAGGAAGAAGTTGATAGAGGCGAAGTAAACTTGAGGAGTTGAAAAATCTATCAAGTGGCTGTCCGGCTTAGTGATCAAGGAAGCCAGCTTGAAGTAGTTTGTACTAGGAGTGATAGTGCAAACCCTTTCACGAGTTGTGAAAGAAGAGTGGAGTAAGCTTCGTTAATAGCCGAACCACTATAAAAATCTCTCTCTCCATATCTGTTTACTTTCGTGCATTACATATCATATCGACCAAACGCTAAAACTTCATAACGAAAGTGTGCAAAGTGTATCTAAGACGAATCGTAATTTCTGCTGTGCATAGCTCCGAAATGAGTTACTTTGAAAAATCGATTAGAGTCTATGCAACACCCCCCCCCCCTCTAGACTCTCGTTTGACCCTACCGGGACCAACATTGAGGAACATGGTTGGTGGGGAGGATGTTGTGGAATATGTAGCAATTCTCCACAAAGTGATTCCCACCATAAAAGAGCACCATTAGGGTTGGGATATGGATGCATGAGATGAACTTTCTTGAAAATATCCCTGACTTGAGTTGGCAAAATTTGAGAAAGAGAATTATTGTTCCAATCCTCCATATTCATGATTCGTATTCCAACTCATCTCATAATCCAGAGAATGAGGGTAGCTAGAATGGTGGCATGGTTCCTTGGAATTCATATCCATCCATAAACTAAAAAAAAAATTGTTAATAAAGATAAAAAGCAAATAAATAAAATAAATAAATAAAAATAATGGATTAGACTCCTAGAATAAAACCTTCACTAATATTAACACTAAACGTCACTTCCTCGGCAACGGCGCCAATTTGATTGCAGTATATTTGCAAACAAATAATACCCGGAGTATCGGGTAATCGATCCACAAGAAGTGGTTGTATTACGCACTAGTTACTAATTTATTCATTAAAGATAATCCTAATGATAGACTTGGATGGTTGCATTAAATAAATAAAATAAAGCGGTGATTCAGGGTTTTAAAAACAAAATAGAGAGATTGAGATTCCTGGGATTCAATTGTTTAGTCCCCTAGTGCCTAACCTTATGTAATATTAAATCTGGGTTCATACGACTGTGAGAATGCAAGGTGGTATAGAGCTACTCTCGTAGTCACTAACGCTAGTGAATTTCCACTCTTGTGGCTTAAACACCCAATAAAACAAGATCAAGCATCATAAATTCCTAACTACTATCATCTCTCGATGTGCAATAATCAAGAATTAAACTCCATAAATAAATTACTCTTTCTCAAGGTGCAACAATTAGGTGCAATTATGTGTGCCCTAAATTATGTCCAACTCTCGTTGTGACACAAAGAAAGCAACCAAAGCAAGTAATTATGACCACTAATTACAAGCAACAAACAATAAAATCACAATTGCAACACAGATATTAAACCCAAATAATACTCCGTAGTATATTAAAGAATCTGAGAGCTTAGACACATAGGTTCATAAACACTTTTACCCAAGAATCTCTAATTGAATTTAGCCAAGCATGACTAAATTATACATAGCAAATAATAATAAATGAAATACAAATTATCAAAAGAGTACAAGAATGAACCAGACAATTTTCTCAAATTTCCCTAGTCTTCTTCTTGATTCCCAAGATAACTTGTGGCTCTTGATTTTCTCCACTTTCGTGTCTCCAAAGATCTCTGAATAATTTTAGGGTTGAGGAAGGTGAGACTTTATAGTTGGAACCAAACCCGGAGAGAATAGGAATCCTCCTAGGGTTGAGGGAAGATGGCTTTTTATAGTGGGAGCCCAATAAGGATAAAATAGGAAATTTCCGTAACTTAAATTCTCGCCCAGGACATAGGTCCGATTTGCAGGCTTATTTTGACCATTTTCCCGTCCGTTTTGGAGTTCTATGTCTTGATAAGAGTTGTATCTCTTCGAGTCGTCTTTCCAATGGCGCAAGAATGACCTGAATCGGACATTCCTAGGCTAAGATATGGTCTAAAAACCGAACTGTCGCCAATCTTTGCAAAAACTTTTACTGATGAAACTTCACTGGAAATTTTTGATACGTCGAGTCTGGACCTTGACGCGTCGAGTTTTGCGCTGCATACCAGATTGTATCCCTTCGAGCCTTCTTTCCCATGGTGCAAGAATCACCTAATAATTTAGCCATGCTTGGCTAGCATGAGATATGATCAAAATACTAAGCTGCCGCCGAATTAAGCGGGAATTACAACTCTTTGGTTTTTTTCTCCACTTTTCCCTTGTTTGGTTCTTGTGATCAAATCCATTAGAAGTACCACCATTTGTCTCTCTTTAGAGCATTTTAGCCACCTCCTTAGCTTCACCTTGACTTTGTTTTGGCTACAAACTCGTCTTAGAATTTTCCTTGCTTTTGCACTTGCCCTATAATGGTTCCAAAACACTAACAAACATCGTAAAACATTCAAAACAAGTGTGAACCATAATTAAATAATAAAAACAATGAATTATGCAATTAAATACCAAAATTATGGACCCAAGCCTAACAAATATAATTAAATCAATACTAAAAATATGCACAATTAGGCTCACATCAATAGTACATACAAGAGAGTAAATAGCAAGGAGTTGTAACCACTATTCAAACATAACTAGTCTAAAATAACATAAATAGAACAAATAATAACTGAATATCATTCTAGCCACATATAGGCTTAACACGCCCCCGCAAGGTGCAGGATCCGTCGGAGACTCCAATCTTAGACCGAAGCTGAAGAAAAAGGCGACGACCCAGTGACTTGGTGAGAAGATCAACCAATTGAGCCGAAGACTAAACGTGCTGGACTACCAGCGTACCATTTGCAACCATATCCCGAACAAAGAAGCAATCCAAGACTAGATGCCTCATTCGTGAGTGAAACACGGGATTCTTACAAACGTACGTAGCGCTCAAGTTGACAACTAAGTATGCAAACATTGACAACTAAAAGTGTGCAAACATTTACCATTACATCTAAAAACATGGTCTCCTAACTATACAAACATTGACTATTAAATGTGCAAACATTTATCATTAATTGTGCAAACTATTGAGGATTTGTTTGTGCATTATTTTAGACTTATATAATTTGTTTTATCCTGCTGCATACAAAATAAGCACATTTTTATACACATCAACGTGCATTTTTAACAAATTTACTGAAAAGTAAGGTCAAGATGCTAGCGACAACAGTTGTTGAAATCTCAAAAATGGTCTAAGTGCCTCACCAATTTTTACTTACAAATTTTGAAGGTAAACAATTTTTTCTAGACCACAAAATGAAAATGTCCTATAAATACTTGCTACATAATGAAGTATAATTGATGCAGTAAAATTTGGGAGTCCTAGTATAACTCATTTCACCCTTTTCCCTATTATTGTGGTTTCTGAGGACTTACACTAACATTATCCTTGCAAATCTCTCTCACTCTCAAAAATGGATCTCACTTCCACATCATCTCATTTGCAAATTATCTACTATTTACACTACATTCTTACAAATTCATCTCACTCCCAAAAATGGGTCCCACATTCATATTATATTATAAATATAATAATAAAATAGTAATAAAAGAAAAAAAAAGTCAACTGCTCGGAGCAAATGTTGCCACTGCTAAAAATTATGAAATTTCTGACCACCTGAAAGTGATCTTAAATTAAGTCGAAAGCAAAAAGTGGTCGGAAATAACAACAAAAATTTTTTCAGATACCAAAAGTGAACTTTTGACTTGATTTAAGATCACTTTCAAGTAGTCAAAAATTCCATAATTTTCACCAAGCAATTGGCTTGCAAAATGCTTTTGCCAAGCAAAAACTGCCAAAAGACTGACTTGCAAAATTAGCATTAAAACAAAAGAAAATTAATATCATATTCCATGTCATCTTCCACCTCACTTTATCAATACCATATTTGCAGGGTAACTTCAGCCTTATAAATAGGCTCCTAAAGAGGCAAAAAGAGTACACTGAGAACCATTCTCTTCGTCTTCTTCGTATATCTATCTCACTATCTGTGATTGATTGAAGAAGACAACTGAAAATATGGATACTTTTCTCCTTTACTCACTTTTCTTTTCAGTCCTTTACGTGTCCCTTTCCATCATTTACTTCATCACTAAGGCCAATACCTCAAAACCCAACCTCCCGCCAGGCTCCACCGGCTGGCCGGTGATCGGAGAAAGCATTGACCTGATGGTGCCGGATAAATACATATCCGACAGGATGAAGAAGTATTCGTCGGAGGTTTTCAAGACCTCGATACTTGGGGAGAAAGTGGCGGTGTTCTGCGGCGCCGCCGGGAACAAGTTCTTGTTCACCAACGAGAACACCCTCCTGACTACGTGGTGGCCGCAGTCGGTGATAAAGCCGCTGATGTTCCCCACCCAAAACACCCTCCGAAAGATCTCGACTCTCAACCGGAACAACATCCACGAGATTTTCAAACCGGAGAATCTCAAACACTACATCCCCACCATAGATTCCATGGCCAAGGTATAACATTTTAATTTGCAATTAGTATTAATATATTGTTGATGTTTAATGTGTATTTTAGCTGAATGTATAACTATAACCTTTGGCAGAAATGTTGGATTAAGTGCTGCAATAGCAATTTTAAGGGAAAGCAACCTCACTAGGATACCCTAAGTATAGATTTTGCAACACAAAATCTTATTAATTGGTGTGATCCATCATTCCTCTTCTTGCCACATCCACTAGAAATGAATTCTTGATTTGATGTAGACATGTAGTCCCCTAATGTGCTTTACTACAATTTTAGTACTTTGGCACAATGCATCTTTCAAAAACAGAATCAAATCCTTATTTTTCAAAAAGACCATGATAATAGACATAGTTTCTCATCTGTATTAAATATATACTATAAATTAGGTGCACCGTTTCATCAATGCCCCGTGGGTGATTCTAATTAATTAACCAAAGTTCATGTTAAATTTTATATTGTAGTTTTTTAATATACTCTAACATATTCATAATATATGTTTAACAATTATGTCAATTTTTATTTGGATGGGGTTCGAACCTAAGACGACGATCATTCTTATGAAAATCAATGGGTAAGTTAAGAATATAAATAGTTAACAGAATACTCCGTTACTAAAGTTTACACTAACGGAATACACGAGTATTTAGGAAAAAGTAAATGATATGGTAGAGGGCAAAATAGGAAAAATATTATAAAAAAAAAAAAGAAAAAAAAGAAAAAGAGAAAATGGTTAAATAGACTGTTGAACTTTCTTCAAAATGGCAATTAGGCCTTTGAACTTTACAAAAGTGCAATTACACACTCGAACTTGTGAAAATGAGTCAAATAAGTCTAATTTACCGGTAACCAACAGGTTACCGGTAAATTATTGATGTTCGTCGTAGTTGACCGTCACTAATTACTATTCACCGCCGTTCAAAACAAAAAAAAAAAAAAAAAAAAATTCCGGTGACCATTTCTATCGGAGAAGATGACCGGACTGGTCGTCTTCTCCACTGGAGAAGATGACCGGATTGGTCTTCTTCTCCAACCACTGGAGAAGATGACCAGATCTGGCCGTCTTCTCCAGTGGAGAAGGCGACCAAATTTGGTCGCCTTCTCTATTGGAGAGGGCGACCAGACCTCTTTGGTAGCCCTCTACGTTGGGGAAGACGACCATATCTGGTCGTCTTCTCGATTGGAGAGGACGACCAGAGGTCACAATCTCCAAAGGAGGAGACGATCATATCTGGTTTCCTTCTCCACCGGAGGTCTTCTTCTCCGGTTAAGACCATCTGATTTTTTTTAAAAAAAAATTGTGCCAGTCGGAATGTTGTCGGAATCTTGAATGACTGGTTATTCCAGGTGAATAACCGGTTACTGGGGTTATATGCCTCAAAATGACAAGTTCGAGCGTGTGATTGCACTTCTGTAAAGTTCAATGGCCTAATTGTCTTTTTGAAGAAAGTTTAAGGGTCTATTTGACCATTTTCTTTTAAAAAAAAATATTAAAATAAAAATAATATGAACCATTAATTTCAACCAACAATTACACAAATATTTTTTAGCTCCGGTTAAGGGCCTAACTTTATTGGCTCTTATTATATTTGTAGATTTGTAGACTATAATTGGTATGAGGGTTCTTAATTTTCTCGAGATTAGTAGAGTTATCTTTTTTTTTTTTTTTTTAAATAGTTAGACCTCGAGAAATTTTGAGTAAGTCAACTATAGTAAGCACCTTAAAATTTGTATGCAACTAATTTCTATTCACACCAGATCAACGTAATTAAAGGGACTTCTCTGAAAGTCGGTAGACACTCATGCTAACTAAAATGGTTTATGTGCTTACACAAGGAACATATCGCCGAGGAGTGGGCCCCATTCAGAGAAGTCAAGGTTTATGCTCTCTCCAAATGTTACACCTTCACGCTGGCGTGTAAGCTGTTCTTGAGCATTGAGGGCCGCGACGAGGTTAAAAGGCTATTAGACCCAATAATCATCGTTAGCTCCGGCATGTTCAGCTTGCCGCTCAACTTCCCCGGCACTGCCTACAATCGCGCCATGAAAGGCGGTAGCATGGTGCGCCGTCAGCTCCTGGAGGTGATTAAGGAGAGGAAGGCAGAGGCCATGATGAGTAGTTCAGGTAAGGTGGAGAACGAGGGGCGAGACGTGTTGGGTCGCCTCCTTAACCTCACCGATGAGGAGGGACAACACTTGAACGAGTTCGAGATTTACCATTATATTATCGGAATTCTCCTTCCCACCTACCATTCTATCAGTGCCGCCATAACCTTTGTATTGAAGTTTCTTGCTGAACTTCCCCATATTTATCAACAAGTCTACAAAGGTAAATAAATAACATCTTTTGTGATATTTTAAAAAATTAAAATGTACTCCGTAATACTTTTCTATGATTATATTCCTAGCAAATATTACATTTTAATTGTATTTATATTTTGATTCATGATATTCTATTTTCTTGTTTTGAGACAATTGTAGCAAATTACCTCCTTACCGCGTACTTGGCGTTCAAATAATCATCTATAATTTTTACAAATCATAGTTAAGTAGGTGATCGAAATATCATTTTTGCATATGAAGATTACGAGTTTGATCTTTGCTAATATTTTTCTGCAGAACAAATTGAAATTGCCAAGTCGAAGGGACCAAATGAGAGATTGAGTTGGGAAGACGTTCAAAAGATGAAATATTCATGGAATGTAGTATGTGAAGCACTAAGGCTATTCCCACCAGGACAAGGTGGCTTTAGAGAGACTGTCAGTGAGTTTACCTACGCTGGATTTACTATTCCAAAAGGATGGAAGGTTAGTCATCAACATCATAGATTATAGATATGCCACATATATATAATCAGATAAATTTAAAAAAAAATGCGGTGACATTTACATTATGCTATGTTTTTGGGTCAAAATTTTCCAAATAAAATAGACCCTGAGGTCACATCAAGATGATTTAACTCTCGCACGTACCATGAATGTAAAAAAAAAAAAAAAAAAAAAAAAAAAAAAAGAAAAAAGATTTTTGTTGCCATCACTACTTGCAGGCTCGTTGGGCCGCCATCCCTTTGTGCGGGCCCAACTAAGATCTTTCACCGCCTTCCCCCCGTGCAAACTTGTTGGGTTGCCTTCCCTTCATGCAGGCCGAATTAGGATTTTTTCACCGCCTTCCCTCCGTGTGGGCCCAACGAGGATTTTTACCGCCTTCCCAACATGCGAACCTGTTGGGTTGCCTTCCCTCCATGCAGGCCCAACTAGGATTTTTCACTACATTCCCTACATGCGAACCTGTTGGGCTGTCTTTCCTCCACGCAGGCCCAACTAAGATTTTTCATAGTAATTTATACCATGGACAAGAGTCCACATAGCATTATAGACCCTAGATTGAAACGACAAGGTACAAAATGCATATTCTTAAGGCATAGAATTTCATACACAAAACACAAAAAATCACAACACAAGACACATATATGGACCTTGGATTGAAACGACGAGATATAAAATTCAAACTCGTAGGATACAGAATTTCATACACAAAACGCAAAAATTCACAACACAAGACACATACACATGTTATATACTTCGTATTTACATATTTTTCAAATATGATTTAGGTACATAATTTTTGTTCATAGGGACATAATTTCACAACACAAGACACAAAAATTCATTACATACATAATCACTAATTTGTTCCAAGTACATAACTCATACTCTTAAGGTACAAAATTTCATAACGTATGACACAAAAAAATCATAACACAAAACACATACACATGAATCATAGTCCATAGTGCAGTGTGAACCCTGGTCCATAGTACAAGGATTGATTTTTAGCCGCCTACCCTACATGCGGACCTGTTGGGCTGTCTTCCCTCCATGCAGGCCCAATTAGGATTTTCACCGCCTTTTCAACTTGACGGCCGATAAACTTCCTTTTCGTAGTGTTCATCAAAGACGGAGCCAATGTAGGTTTTGTTAGGACCATGTTCATCATAAACCGAGTATGGAAGTACAAAACGGGATAGGAAAATAATAGTTTTATTGCTCGGGGCTCTAGGCCCAAAAAGGTATGTACAAATCCCGAGATATTGGCCCAAACGGCCCAAATAATATATATATATATATATATATATATATATATATATATATATATATATATATATATATATATATATATATACACACACACCCCGTATAGTACTATACACTTTGTAACAACTAAATGTGCATTCCTAGATAACTTTTAAAAACTCAATTAAAAAAAAAACTAAAATTTAAATCTAAATGGTTAATGTCAAACCCTGAGCAATAAAAAGTGAACCCCTAAATCAAATAAAATTAAAAAACTCAATCATAAACTCTAAAATCCAAACGTAAGTGCAATGCACTTTTGCAAGTAGAATTTTTTAATACTAAACATGCACTTTGTTCAAACATACACTTTGTAACAACTAAATGTGCATTCCTGAAAAATTTTAAAAAGTGCATTGTACAATGTTCTATATTGCATAGTAAATATGGTGATAATTATGAAAATATCATCATATTTTTTTAAAAAAAATTTGATCTGATCCGTTTGATTTTTCCATATTTAGTTCTTTATTTTTTTTAAGAACTTTTTTTCATTTGATCCAATATTATATATATATATATATATATACACACACACACACACACACACACAATCCTTTTTCTTAGACTCCGCCTAGATGCTAGGCGAGCCTCTAACGCCCGACAAGCGCTTAGCGTATTTTGCAACATTGCAAATTAGCTGTGCATAGCCATGCTTGACCATGGCGCTAATCTATTTATTTATTTTTATTTTTTTTTAAATTTTCGACAACACAATTGTCAAAAATTGTTTGCTATCACTAGTTGTCTTGGTTAGTATATTCGTCCAAATTTTTTAGCCTCTTATCGTTACTGGTGCAGTGATTGGTGTTATAGGCACACTTTTGATTGATGGTAAAAAATAATAGCAATGGAATATTTTTTTTCATTAGATCCCTAATATGGTCAGACGATATGCCACTTTTGATATTAAAAAAAAAAAAACATTGTTTCTGATAAGTTTTCGTGATAAACTGAAATTTTTTAACCATGGGTTAATGTGCCATTATACCATATTACCAATAATTAATTTTCTACCACTTGACTTCAAAAATAAGTCTAAACTTATAACTTTTTTTTTGAATGACATTTGTACAGACGTTTTGGAATGTGTATTCAACACACAAGAATCCCAAATATTTCACAGAACCAGAGAAGTTTGATCCGTCAAGGTTCGAAGGAAGTGGACCGGCACCCTTTACCTTTGTGCCATTTGGCAGCGGGCCGAGAATGTGTCCCGGAAAAGAGTATGCCCGACTGGAAATACTTGTGTTCATGCACAACGTTGTCACCAATTTCAAAATGGAGAAACTGATGCCGGATGAGAAGATAGTATATAATAATGCAGCGCCGAGTCCGGTAAATGGCCTTCCTGTCAGACTTACACCCCATCAGAAATAACTTTTTATTGCACTGCAACATATATCTAATATCTAAATCTGTAATCTAAAATTTAATAAGAGTCAATGATGTTAGTGCTTAATTGAAATAAAATTGTGTTCGTGGTATAAATTGTATTAAGTGTTTATCCTGTTATTTGTATTTGACAATAATAATGTTACCCAAAACATATTTGGAAAGAAGTTTGTATTGTTTAGTTCTGAGTACTAAATGAGTATATATACAATGGCTCCAATGATGCTCAATGTAATAATATCAGACATCCGTTACACTTGATCTTTTGGCTCAGTTCTCTATTTCGAATTTGAGACCAATTATCCTATCACCAGCTCTCTTACTCCCAAACGAGTAAGGTACCGTACCTGAGTCGGCCAGGGAGTAATAATAGTTGTAGATTTCTAAATTATTTTTGCAATCCAATGGTTTTTTTTTTTTTTTTTTTGAATTTATTCTCCTAATATTTCCTTCCATTTTTATGTATCATCCTCCCTTTAAAATTCTAAAGACCATTAATTTTAGTGATTGCACCTTTGACCAATTCAAACGAAAAAAAAAAAAACAACTTAACCTAGATTTTTTTTTTATTAAATGCAAGAAAATGATTTTCAAAGTTTCTTATTTGTAATTTTTTATGCTCAATTTTGAATGCCATTTATATAATCTGAGTAATTAATTGATCAAAGTTTATGTTACATTTTATATTGTATTTTTTTAATATATTCTAACCTATTGATAGTATATGTTCAATAATTATGTCAACTCTGATTGGGGAATATTTGATTACTAAAAGTTTACACCGACGGAATGCATATGTATTTAGGAAAAGTAAATAATATTAGAGGGTAAAGTTAAAAAAAATAATTTAAAAAAAATACTAAAATCAAAATAATATGTACTATTCATTTCAACAAACAATTGAATCAATATTTTTTTAATTTCTCGTCATAGGCCTAACTTCATTAGCTTTTATTAGATGTATAATAGATAGTAGATGGAATAACAATTCCAATCTCTCAATTGTTGAAGTTAGCATTATTGACTTTCCAATTGTTTGTAAGGCGACATCAACATGGATAGTTAAAGTTTGTCACTTTTAAATTACATGTGCAAGCTATTAGTCAACATAAAGTTAAAATTGTAATTTGCAATTCTAAATCGTTAATTGGTCAAGCACCCAGAACTATCAAAATTGACACATTGTGAAATGAGGGATCAAAACCATTAATTACCTCGTAAAATTGAAATGTCAAGAATCCAAAAGTCAATCGAGATTGAAATCGTTAGTTTGTATAAATGTATAATAAAATATGTTAATACTTGGAAGAGAATTAAGAAATCAAGCTAGAATAACATCATATTGGAGATCGACATTGACGAAAATAAAGAAAAATTGCCAAATTGACTTGGTACTTGGTAGGATGTTTGGAAATAGCCAAATGGGTGATTTTTTAAAAATTTGGACGTGTTCTTATTAGAGTACCGGCCTTTAGTCTTGGAAAGCCATTAATGCTAGAAGGTGATATCGTAGAAGTCAAATGAATATCCTGGAAAAACTGAAGGACATCAATTTCTACTTAGACATAATCTCTGTTCATCTCTTTAAGAAAATTGAGAACCTCCCTAACCCCCTAGCTTTAGTCTCCTTAGACTGGAACACACCCTCCCAATGTAAGGTTCTAATAGCAATGAAACGTCTATTGTCCCGTTACAATTAAGACTAATCTATAGATTTTAAAAACACATTATCAAGTTCAAAAAAAAAAAAAATAAAAGACTATATATATAAAATATTTAAAAAAAAAAAAATTAGACCCTCAAAATTTGTGACCCTATGCCATTGCCTTGGCAGCACATGACCAGAACTGACCTTGCGGAATTGGATTAAGTACGGAATATAATAGGAATAATATTCTAGTATTTGGTTCAATAGGGGAATAAATTGTAAATTGACTTGGTGATGTTTGGAAATAGCCAAAAGGGTGACTTTTAAAATTTTGACGTGGTTTAGATTAGCCTTTTGTCTTGGTCGTCTTAGTGACTTCATCTTTTATTTATATATAGTAGCTGAAAACAGAAAATTAAACCAAGTTACAGATCACATCCAATTCAACACAAACCATAATTCAATGTATAGCAGAAGATGAAGATGAGGTTCCTAGTACTACTTGTGCTGTCAGCAATACTGGTTTTCGCTCCTTCCACCACCACATCAAAAACTAATTATCCCATAGCCAAACCCAACTGCGATGACCATTGTGGGAACATAAGCCTCCCGTTTCCCTTTGGTTTGAAAGAAGATTGTGAGAATAAACCAGGCGGGTTTTCATACCATTGCAAGGAAGGTTACCAGGAAGATGGGGAAGGTGGTTGCCAATTACCTAGTAAACATAAAAAAAAAATGTGAACGTGATTGTTTTGGGTGTTGCTTTAGGCATATAATGTTGTTGATCACTAGTTTTTGACTATACTTGGGATATCGACGGAGGAAATCAGTACAGATAAGAGAAATTCTTTAGGGAAAATGGAGGATTCATTCTGCAACAAAGGATTGTTCAAGGTGGTATATATTCTGGCACGACAAGAATTTTCATCACGGATGAGCTTAAAAGAGCCACCAACAATTATGATCAAGTTAGAATCATTGGTCAAGGAGGCTTTGGCATTGTCTACAAAGGACACCTTCTTGATGGCCGAATCGTGGCCGTCAAAAAGGCCACGATGATGGACCCAACCCAAGTCGAGCCGTTCGTCAATGAGGTAATTGTGCTCTCCCAAATCAATCACAGAAACATTGTTAAACTCTTTGGTTGCTCTTTTGAGACAGAAATCCCGTTGTTGGTTTACGAGTTCATAAGTACCGGAACATTGTCTGAGCATCTGCACAACAAAGAGAAGGCATAAAAAATTCCTTGGTTGACCCGTTTAAAAATAGCTTTGGAAACCGCTGAAGTTCTCTTTTATTTGCACCTGCAGCCTCTCCTCCCATCATCCACAGAGATGTTAAACCAGCAAATATTCTCCTGGATAGCGGCTACACTGCTAAGGTATCTAATTTTGGTTCGTCAAGATTAGTGCTACAAGATCAAACGCAATTGATAACCATGGTGCAAGGAACATGGGGTTATCTCGATCCATAATACATGTAGACCCACCAATTAATGGAAAAGAGTGATGTTTACAGCTTTGGGGTTGTCTTAGTGGAGTTGTTAACGAGTAGGAGGGCAGTATTTTATGATGGTCCAGAGGAGGAGAGAAATTTATCTCTGCATTTCCTTTCATCCTTGAAGGCTAATCGATTGTTCATGATTGTTGATGACAACGTTGTATGCGAAGGAAACACTGAAGAGTTACAAGAAGTTGGTTTGCTTGCAGAAAGGTGTTTAAATGTGAAGGGAGGAGATAGGCCAATCATGAAGAATGTTGCAGTTGAATTAGGTGGATTGAGGAGAGCAGCAAAACATCCATGGATTAATAATAATTCAGAAACTTCCATGGAATCACATGCTTTACGTACTTATTAACCCACCAATCCCCTTTGAATATGATGTCATTTTTAGTATAACAACAACTGAATATGATAGTTTAAAACATCATATGAAGTTACCAGTAGTTGCAGAAAGATAATTGCTTATAAATAATGATTTGTTTCCATTATTCCTTTGGAATAAAAAAAATGTATTGTAATTCAATTGAAATAACGTTTGACTTATTTATTTATTTTTTTAAAGAAAAGATAATAATACCTTAATGTGGTGTGACCAATTTTGAAAGTGATTTGGAGTTACATGGATGTAGAAAAAAAATGATGAAATAGTAAATTTGATGATATAAAAGTTGGACACCTTTTAAAGCGAGGGAGAATTGTAGGAATAAAGATAATCTTACAAATACAAAAATTATAGTTTAATATTAATAGTTTTTGTTGTTATTATTTAATATAGTTAAAACATATACTTAAAAACTATAATGAATTATCAAAACATTAAAATTAAAGTTAATGGACAAATATACATTAATTTTGTAAGTTTTATTTTAATAATAATATAATAATATTCTTTTTGCTGTTGTTCTAAATTAAAATTAGTTCTGATGATTCTTCCTAACATCTTCTCGGTTGAGCTCGTCTGATTACAGGGGGTCTTCTTAGTGTGATTTAAATTTTCTATATACTTTGCAAACTATTACACAAGACTAATGTTTATACAATGCACACTCTCAAATAATAACTGCACATTTTATTCGTCATAAAAAAAAAGGTATATATAGATTATCATTCACAAATTTCTTTCTACCGCTGTTATGTGTTTTGACTTAGAAACACAATTTATATATTCTAAAAGTTCACAATTCCAATACTAAACATACACGATTTATATGTCATTTAGGACCATCATGGTATAACAACTTAGATTAATAATGGAATTGTGGATTTTTTATATTTTTATTGAAAAAATTTAAATGACAAAATAAATTAATTTAAAATTATTAATATGATCTTAGATATATTGACTCCAAAAATATTGTAATGTGTTTGAAACTGAAAATGTTTTATTAAACTAGTCTTTTATTGAATGCATGCTAATCATTGTAAGCATTGAAAATTTAAATAATATTGTTGGACCGTGATGGATAATTGGTCATTAAATTAATTACTTTAATTAGGCTAATTGGACTAATATTTATTTAATTGGGTTAATTAAATGACCCATTGAATAATTAATTAGTTTAATTACTTAATTAAATGTAATTGAATGATGGATTGTTCGGCCCGAGATGATGAAATATTTAATCGAGTTGGACCAAGCTGATTGGATGAATTGGGTTGCCTAATTAGCGGGTTTGACTTGGTCTTGGCCCATCAAAATTATATGTGGATTATATAATTTTAGGAAATTTGAATATTTGATATTATTTGGAAATTTAATGAAATCATGAACCTGGACGCAATGGTGTCCCGATACGTTCCTTAATTTAATTAAAATAATTAAATTAAATTGGGAATTAAGAGTTGGTTGGAGATTTTCCCTCACCCTCACCACTATAAATAGTGGTTTCATTTTCAAAGAAGGAAGCTCTGGAAATCTGCATATCGAAGCTCTGCCGAAATCTCGTCGGGATATCGTCTGGAACACGCCCGCAGTTATATATACTGCGTATATTGCGCTGAGGAATACGCCATTTGAACACCGGAAGCCCTTCTTTGAAGATCAAGCTGCATATTAGCCCTTCATTGAAGAACAAGCTACATAACCCCGGAGGCCCTTCAGTAAGGAACTACTCCCAGTTCGGCATATTCCCGAACTTGGCATACTTCCAGTTCAACATACTTTGAACTCGGCATACTTCCAATTCGGCACACTCCCGAACTTGGCATACTTCCAGTTCGGCGCACTCCCAAACTCGGCATACTTCCAGCTCGGCATACTTCCGGCAAGGAACTACTTCAAGTTCGGCACACTCCCGAACTCAGCACACTTCCAATTCGGCATACTCCGAATTTGGCACACTTCCAACAGGCATACTTCTAGTAGAGAATCAGAGGACTTCTCGTATACAGAGATTGTACCCCTTCTTGATTGATATATACTTGATACTACTTGTAACCGATACTTTGAATTTTGAATATATACAATTCGAGTTTTTCGCGTTTACATATTTTGGCACGCCCAGTGGGATAGCTCTGCCTCTCATCTCTATACTACTACTATATCTCTACCTGTGCATCAAATGGCATCGAACAATCCCATGTTCAGGAGGACCTATGCCCAAGCTACCAAGTCCAAGTCTAGGCCTGTAGCTAGCTCTGGCACTACCCCAAAAATGCATGGTCCGCTGACAAGGAACCGCGCAAAGGATTTGGGGGTCCAAGTGCCTGAACCTCAGTCCATGGCACGACGGGTAGTTCGAAGGCTAGACAAGGCCCCTACCACCTCAAAGGCAAATGTTCATGCTGGAGGTCCACCCTCTCCTAAGGGAGCTACCGATGGTGTTAGTCCAACTTCCATGCAAGGGAGCGCTAGTAGCGGGAGCACTTCCCCTGTAACCCCGCCACATCCATTATGGAAGGCTGCACCTGAGTGGTCGCATGTCTACAATGTCATGCCGGCCATGGCGACAAACACAGAGTCTGTGGAGGAGAAATTAGCTAGAATTGCTAAGTCTTTGGAAGGAATGGCTGTCGCTCTCCAAAATCAAGAGAAACGGCTTAACACCCTCGATAATAGGGTAGGAAGCATCATGTAGGGACAAGGAAGTCGTGCTCCAGGAAAGCAACCTGAAGGGCAAGAAGAGGTTGGTCAGCAATCACCACCACCTTATGTTAGCCATGTGGTAGGAGAAGCTGCTTCCCACTTACCCGTAACTGAGAAATCTATACCAGTCACTGAAGGCATGATACCGGTGGATCAGTTGAAAGACTACACAATGGGGGCTATCAAAGGCAAGTTGGATGACGGCCAGCCCTCATATTCATATGCTAAACCCTATACACAAAGAATTGAGGAGTTGAAAATGCCATACGGCTATCAACCTCCTATGTTCCAACAATTCGATGGTAAGGGAAACCCTCGACAGCACATTGCCCACTTTGTGGAGACATGCTATGATGCCGGGACTTATGGTGATCTGTTGGTAAAGCAGTTTGTCCGTTCATTAAAGGGAACTGCGTTTGATTGGTACACTGACATCGCGCCCGGCTGCATTGATAGCTGGCATGATATGGAACGTGAGTTCTTAACCCGTTTCTATAGCACGAGGAGAACGGTTAGCTTCTTGGAACTCACCACTACTCACCAATGGAAGGGTGAACGCGCCGGTGCCTACATCGAAAGGTGGAGGGAACTATGCCTGAATTGCAAAGAAAGAATATCTCAAATTTCTGCAATTGAGATGTGCATCCAAGGCATGCACTTTGAACTCTCCTATATCCTACAAGGGATTAAGCCAAAGTCCTTTGAGGAGTTATCCAGTCGTGCTCACGACATGGAATTGAGCATAGAAGCTAGCGGAGGGCTAAACATATTGAACTTCCCTAGCTCCTCCAATGCACCTGGAAAACAAGAAGTTAAAAAGTGGAACAAACCTTTTCCAAAGCAAGAAAAGAAAGAAGTGATGAATGTGACGGCTAATCCTATGAAAGTCTTCACTAAGGCAACTGAAAGGCCTAGGCCAAGACCATTTTCTGGCCCGTCAAGGGGTGGTAGAAGGCCGACAATTGAAGAAAGGCAGGAGAAGACTTATCCTTTCATGGATTCCGATGTATCTCCCATGTTTGATGAGCTACTCAAACTTAGACTCATTGAGTTGCCAGAAATGAAACATCCTGAGGAAGCATCAAGGGTGGATGATCCACACTATTGCAAGTACCATCGTCTTCTTGGTCATCCGATTGAGAAGTGTTTTATCTTCAAAGATAAAGTAATGGCACTGGCCAGAGATGGAAAAATTGAGCTTGCCGATGCCAAAGCGAGCTCAAATCAAATCTCGATTACACCCGAATGGTTCGCTCCGCTGTGTACTGAAAAGGAAGATGGGAAACAACGGAAGCGTCCACTCCCCTTCATTGTTAAGCACGTTGTCAGTCAAAGTTCAGAACCACAGCGGAATAATAACGCATCCGAAGGTAAATGGGTGATTGTCACTCATAGAAAGAAGAAATTCGAGCCTGTGAAGCATCAAAAGCACATAGTGAAAAGTTGGGTTGAGAAAACCTCAAAAAATACCCATGCCCGCAAATCAAAGACGAAGGGGCATGTCAAACAGCCACGTGCACCAGTTCCTTTGGCTCAATATATGCCAAAGGGATTTGATCTTCAAGGGGCAGGCACTTCTAGCTCCTGCCTAAATACAAATGACAAGACAAAAGATGGAGGTGAATGTTCATCTTCTAAACACATCGAGGATGAGGAAATGTTAATGCATAAGGCTACTTCCTACTCCACAGAAATTACCTTCAAGGATGAAAACTTGTTACTTGGAGGCACGCCACACAATCGCCCACTATTTGTTGAAGGCTATACCCGTGGGCAAAAGCTCAAAAGAATTATGGTTGATCAAGGCTCAGCTGTCAACATCCTATCCCTTAGAGCTGTGAAGGACCTTGGTATATCTACAGATGAGCTTGCCTAAAGGCGTCTAATGATACAAGGCTTCAACCAGGGAGGGCAAAGAGCAATCGGCATCATCTGACTTGACTTAAGAATTGGAAGCCTAAGTTCCGGTGTCCTCTGCCATGTCATAGATACAAGGACATCTTATAACTTGTTACTTGGAAGACCGTGGATACATGAAAATGGGGTGGTACCCTCTTCTTGGCGTCAATGCCTCATGTTTGAAAGAAACGACGTAGTTGAAAAGGTTGTCGCCGATGAAAGCCCTTTCACAGAGGCTGAGTCTTACTTTGCAGACGCAAAGTTCTACATTAAAAGGCAAGTTATTGTTGAAGATATTAAGGAAAGCAATGACGATCCACCTTCCACTACACCAAATCAGACATTTAGCGGCGGTTTTTTTTACGTTTATGGCTCTATCTACTATCAATGCCGACATTACAGAAAGTATTTAAGGAGTATCTACCAAAACTCTTTTAGATTCCTTTTTTCACTGAAAAAAACAAACAAACAAACAAA